AAAGAGCTTTAATGAAACAATAGTAGTCAATCCTTAACAGATTGGTTAACCTTAATCTTCGTATTCGTAGTTGTCCTGTAAAGTTTTGCGAGGAAATTTTGAATATTTGACAGTAACTTTACAAGTATAGTAGCCCTTGAGCCTCGAGGAGCACAACGACAAATAGTTTGTGATGGTTTAGTGTTAGGACTGACGTGGTGAAAGAGATGTATGGCATGATTGACGCGTGGTGCATGAAACATTGTGCTACTTCAAAGGGGGAAGAGTTAAGACTCTTAGGCTATTTAACCTAATTCCCTTGGTCCATTTAGGTGGGAAGCGAACCATTACCAAAATTGTTATAAATATGGGTCTCATTCGACCTAATTCACCACCAAGTTTCAAAAGATTGCTCTGAGACTGCCATCTGTGTGGGAAAAGTGCATCCTTTTAGAAGTCGATTACTTTGAGAAGTCGAGTACTTCTAATTCTCAAGATATGTGTATTGGTTCAAACAAGAGTTATAGTTTAAGGGAGAGTCAAATAATAACCATAGTGTTATAGTCAGGTGTCGGTATTGTCGGATGTGACCTCATCGCGTGGTATGGGATGGAGATGGAAGTTGTCATAGAAAATAAGGAGGACCCTCCTGAGGAACATGTCAAGTTCAGGTTACCCAAATGGGAAGGGTATGAGTAGGTGGACCACTTAGTTAGAAGTCATTTCTCCAAGTTTAGGTGGTCTATGATTTTAAACTCCTCGTTAAACAACACCTATGTTTTTTTTATAAGGGAGTGTTTGAGGACATTGTATCTCTTAGGAGGGTAAGCGTCATTGATAATGTTTGTCATGACCAAAAGGGGTATGAAAAGGACTTTCTCTTTGTATATATGATGTTTTTGGTTCAGTTAAATGTTTGTCTACCGTTCAACGAGTTCACAATAGGTGTACTTAGGCTTTTGAGCATAGCTCAAGCGTAATTACATTCGAACAATTGAGATTGCTTTAGTGTGTAAAACATTGTACCTCTCTCCTTTTCTTGAGTGTTTTTTGTATTTTTATCTTATACAACTAAGGGATCTCATTACTTGGTTGTCCTTGGTGAGTAAGCTTGATACCTGCATCTTAGGTGTCTACTCCCAATCGTTTAAGAAATTTAAGAATGGGTTCTTCAGGATAATAATTAACCCTGTCGATCCCTCAGACTTCTTTGATGAAAATGATAATAAGAAAATATTTTTTATTGGATCGATAACCCTCTTAGGTACAAGGAATGGTTTAAGGACATCCCATTTGAGAAGAATTAGAGGATGATGCGAATATTGGAACAACTCCCAAAGTACTTTTCGAGGAAGAACATTGTTAGAGTTTACTAGTCTATTAGACTAGTTATTGAGTTGCATGGTTACTGTATAATAGACTGAAACTTGAACATTTTCCAAGTAAAGAAGTGTTGGAAAAAGATAGAAATAAATCAAGGGCTTAGTTGCTTGGCCGTGGTGAAGGTGCAACTTCAGTAAATAATCTGACTTGGATGGTTTGGAAAGTCCTTCTGTCGTGATGAGAAAAGGAGGGAATATCGACCTGAAAGACAATAAGTTGAAGCTGATGGAAGAGGTCGATTCGATTACTCTTGTCCAAGCTATGATCGAATTTCA